GACGAGTACTGACCATGCTGGCCTTTGTTGATGTGATTTTAAAGATAAAAAGCTCCAGCTCTCATACAGCCATATCTGCAGCAACTGAATAAACAAATAAAAGAGCATAGAACGTAACTATAGACCCCAGCCTCAATAATTTACAGAAACACTCTGAAAACTTTCCCTTTGCACTGCTTTTTTTGTTTAATAGCTCTCAATTGGATACTTCTGTTGTACATACTTTGTCCTGCTTTATGCCCCTCTCCCCCGATTATGAACAAATAATTGTAAACCTTTAAAATAGTAGCAGCTGAATAAAGTTCTGAATTGCAATGAAAGTACATTCTCATAGGAGATAAGGGGAAGAGGGGGCAACATAAAAAAGAATTGCAAAGTGTTCTGAGTTCATCATTTTACATCAATATAATCCTTTTTGCTTGTTTTGTTATACCTTAGAAATAAGTTGTAGTGCGGCATTCTGTCAGCAGTACTAGAGTTAAGTGTCTGTCAGGGCTTTAACATCATTGTAGCCTCACATTTTCAGCATAATATCTCAGCTGTTTCAAATTTTGTTGGCCTAAATTTTACCATAAAAGTTTGAGGCTGGATGTAGTTTTCTGCTTTTTGTTTAAAAAATTTATTTGTTCTCTTCGCTTGAGTGGCCAAGAAATGTGAAACCTTCAAAATTTCAGTGACTGTTTCCAAATTATAGATCAATAATGTCCTGGCTTAAATATATAAAACTTGGCCAGGACTTAGTCAAGACCTCACAATTATGAACACCCATGTTCCAAACTGATCAGTCAACCACATACCTCATTTGGAACCACAAATATGAGTAAGCCAGCAGCAGAGCCAAAAAAAAAAAAAAGGCAAATATAGTACAGTACTGTAAACTATTAAAAATAAAGGAAAAATATAGAAGATTGGACAAGATAAGGAAACTTTTCTATGCTTGTTTAATTTAAGACTGTTAAAAGTAGCCTTTTTTTCTCCTGCACAGTAAAGTTTCAAAGCTGTATTAAATCAATGTTAAACTGTACATTTTTTGAAAGAATAATCGTAATATTTTGTTCTGAGTTGTCCCCATTTCAGAATTATGAACAGTCTCCATTCCAGAGGTGTTTGTGAAGTTCTGCTGTAGTTTGACCTATGCATGGTCTGCAAAATTATTTTAAGAAAACCAAAGATGCTATTTTAAATAGGTCTGATTAAGGAACTGTGTATATCTTGTTGTAAAGCTCATTATTCTTCAGCAGTGTTGATAACTAAATTGAAAGCAGGGCTGTTTAATAGGTCCATATCGACCAAAGAAGGTTTCAGAAAGGTTTCTGAACCTGTGTAAATAGCATTTGCACAGCTTTGCTTTTCATACTCAGTTCACTTTCAGTGACACCTTCCCCTCCCCCTGCCCTCGCCCTCCAGGACCTGGCCTTTCACTGTGGTAGGGCCCAATAGCTTATTTCACCATTCCACCAGCAAGGTTTTCAGGAGTAATTCTCAATTCTTACAGGATCTTTGCGGAATAGGGTACCTCTGGCCAGCCTCTCACCAAAATAAAGCAACAGGATTGGGGACACACTTCAGAGCCTAGAATCCTAAGGCTGGAAGAGACCTCAGGAGGTCTTCAAATCCAACCCCTTGCCCAAAGCAGAACCAACCTCACCTAAATCATCCCAGCCAGGACCTTGTCAAGCCAGGACTTAAAAACTTCTAGGGACGGAGATTCCACCACCTCTCTAGGTAACCCATTCCAGTGCTTCACCACCCTCTTTTCCTAATATCCAACCTAGACTTCCTCCACTGCAGCTTAAAACCATTGCTCCTCATTCTGTCATCTGACAACAGCTTCTCTCCATCCTCTTTGGAACTCCCCTTAAGATAGTTGAAGGCTACTATTAAATCTCTCCTCACTCTTCTCTTCAATATACTAAACAAGCCCAAATCCCTCAGCCTCTCCTCGTAAGTCATGTGCTCCAGCCCCCTAATCATTTTTGTTGCCCATCCTTTCTGTAATAGGCGGCCCAGAACTGGATGCAGTACTCCAGATGTGGCCTCACCAGTGCCAAATAAAGGGGAATAATCAATTCCCTAGATCTTCTAGCAGTGCTCTTACTAACGCACCTCAATGTGTCATTAGCCTCCTTGGCTACAAGGGCACACTGTTGACTCATTTCCAGCTTTTCATCCACTGTAATCTCCAGGTCCTTGTCTGAACAACTGCTGCTTAGCTAGTCAGCCTCCAACCAGTAGCAGGGCTTGGGATTCTTCCATCCCAAGTGCAGGACTCTGCACTTGTCCTTGTTGAAACTCATCAGATTTCTTGTGGCCCAATCCTCCAATTTGTCTAGGTCATTCTGGACCCTATCTCTGCCCTCCAACGTATCTACCTCTCCCCTTAGCTTAGTGTCATTTACAAACTTGCTGAGGGTGCAATCCATCCCCTCATCCAGGTCATTAATAAAGTTATTGAACAAAACTGGCACCAGAACTGGCATTATGGGAGATCCAGTGCTAGAGCACCTACAAAAAAAAGTAGGTGCTCAGCACCCACTAGGCCTGGGGACTTAGGAGAGTGGGGCATGAAGAGGCAGAGGAAGGGCAGGGCTTTGGTAGAGGGGTTGGAGTGAGGCAGAGCCTTGGGGTGGACCATGGGCGGAAAAAAAAGAAAAACTCAGTGCCTATGCTTCAGAGTGTTCTCTAGTGAGTATAGACTATATCTGCAGCAAGCTCAGCAGAGCTGGTGGCTCCTAGCAGAGGAGAGAAATGCTTCTCTTTTCCTAATGACCTAATGGTGGAAGGGCCAAGAGAGGACAAAAGGGAGTGACTTCAGCCTCAGGAGAAGCCCAACAGAAGAGAGATTCCCTGAGCAGATCTAAGAAGAGGGTTTCTCAGAGCATGGAACTAATAGTATCTGGGGCCACCTAGTAGAGGTGTTTAATTTTTTTGGTGTAAGCTTCTGAGAAGGGACTGTGTAGGTGCCAGCTCCTGTGACTATTTTGCATTTGTCATTGTGTACTAGTCATCCAACAGCTCAATAAAACTAGTATCCTTAACTTGCTGCTTTTTGCTTGGCATGTTGGGATCTTACGATAGTATCTGAAAAGGTAATCTTAAATATCCTTAAATGTGGCATTACTGAGACTCAGCAGCAATTAGTTCTGGCAAAGGGGAAAGGGCGGGTGCACAAGGAGCTTCCCCACTTTTCTGCCACCTGCTTTGGGGTTGGCTACTATTAGAGTTCTTGTATTTCCTTGAGTAGAGACTGCTCTCTTTTAGGCCTGATCTGCTTAAAGGGTAAAGTCGACGTAAGATATGCAACTTCAGCTATGCTAATTATGTAGCTGGAGTCGAAGTATCTTAAATCGAGTTTTGGTGCCATCCACACAGCGGGAGGTCAACAGGAGCACAGACTCCTGTCAACTTCCATTACTCCTCATGAGAAACAAGACTACCGGTGCCAATGGGAGCGCCCTCTCAGTTCGAATTAGTGAGTCTTCACTAGACGCACCAACTTGAACTTTGGAAGATCGGCCATGGCAGTGTCAATCTTCTCAATAGGATAGAAAGCCCTTTGTGGCCTCTGGGGCATTAGTCACACTTCTGTGCTAGTAGTCCTGTTCTCTAGCTGGGCATGCATGGGGCCACATGCCTCTCCCCCAGCAACGGAGTAGCAGTAGACGTTTGCTCTCTGTTCATCAGAGGGACCTGGGCATCATGTCTTCCATTCCTCTCCCAACACAAAGCTATGGCTTAGAAGTCACAACAAAGTCACAACAAAGTCTTTAATATGGTTATTTTAATAGTTTATTCGGGTTTTGATGCAAATTGTTAATTTACAGTATAATTCCATATTGCTTCCACTTAAATACTGAACTAATTCAGGATGATGATAGTTATTTCAGTGAATACCAACCTAGCTTATAGCAATTGCTTTGCTTAGTTTAGGGCAGTGGTCATCAACCAGTAGAGCGGGATCTACTGGTAGATCTTGGAGCCTCTGACAGGTGATCCTGACTGGTTTGGCCAGGAAGCTATCAAGCACTGGCACTTCAGCTGCCTCTCCACCCACTGTCATGCTGCCCCTGCCCTCTGCCCTCTGCCTTGGAGCTGCCCCCCTGGGAGCCTCCGTCTTGCTGTGCAGGGTGTGGGAGGGATGATGTAAGGTGATGAGTTAACTGTGTTATAACTATTTATAATAGAACTGTCATAGCTATAAGAAGAATTGAGAATTATACGAGGCCAAGATTTTCAAAGATGAATGTGTAAATTTAGGCTCCTAGGAGTAGAATATTAAAGGCACCAGTAACAATTAGGTGCCTGACTCTCATTGAGTTTGAATGGAAATTTGCCACTAATTACCGTGCATACCTTTGACATTCTCCCCCTGTGGTCCCTGTTTAGGCACCTAAAGAAGTATCAAGCATCCAAAAGCTCCAATTGACTTCAGTTGGGACGGGAGCGGCATAATGATCAGCACCTCTTACCATCAGGTCAGTTATTTAGATGCCTAAATATGGGTCTAACTTTAAGTATGTCTTCCCAAATCTTGGCTTATATTTTTGAGGCACTGAACCCCATAGTATATATGTGCCAGAGGCATGTTTGTGTTCATATTCATGCAAGAGAGTTCCATAGATAAATCTCATTTTTAAGTAGTGATATGACTAACAGATCAGCATTTTTTAGTTCATTTGTAACACTATACAATAGCAATAGCAACTGTTGTCATTCACATATGATCTGTTTTGATGACAGAAGGTTAACTATCCAATAGACATGTTCCATTCTGGTAAGGAATTTTTTAAAAATTCAAGACCTTTGTGAAGCTGCTGAAAATTATGTAGATGAAAAACGGCACCAAGAATCACTGCCAGGTGTATCTAAGTGTAGCTACTTTTTCTGGTGCAATTTTTGTATGCAAGGTCATCCTTCTGGTGCTACCTTAGAAACTGGCCTTATCCTATAGAGGACATTGAATGATAACACTGCAAGTCAGCTGACTGCTGTGTCACAGAGCTGCTGCTTTCTACATTATCGCAACTGCCAGAGCTCTTAGTGCTGCAGTTTTCTAGTCGCAGTGCGGCAAAGCAGACGCATAGAACTAGGCACAAAGCAACATCGATGTTTTTTATTCTTCATTCTTTTTTGTATGAGGGAAATTTACTTTTGTTAGCATAAGAGCAGACGTACAGCCTGGATGTGCACGTTGGCTTCGTTTTCAGCTGAGCAGCTACTGCTCAGAGCCTGATACCCAAATTGCCTCTGATGAAGAACAACTGGTTTCCCACCTTGTGTACGATTAGTTTCTTACACCACGGTGATATACCTGCAAGAACAGGACAAAGGAGGCGGCACTTCTTACTATCTGATTGGGGCCTTTGCAGCCACTTGACTGCTGAAGCTGTCTAAACGAGCTAAGGGTGACATAATATTGGCATTATAGATTGATGTAAGAAACCGTAGCAGTTAGAGCAAAGCTCAAACAAGAAACCAGACTCACTGACCTAAATCAATCCCAGTCCTTGTGGATACAGGGCAGCAGTCGACTAGCAATGACACAACCAGCCATCAAGTGGAGAGTCTCTGGGATTGCAATCTGTGTCACTTGGAGCCTGTGAGAATGAAACACTCCACTTTCGGTTATTCAGTTGCTTTTCCTTTTTCTTTCTTTCCCTGTAAACAGCTATTAATTGTGCTTGGTCTCTAAGTGTATATTTGTATGGATTAGTCTTGTCTGTATTGCAGTCCTTATCTGCTCTTGCTGGAAATCAGGGTAGTAAGTCAGTCTGCTTTAACAGTTGTTTCTTTCTGCGTGATGCTATGCAGCTAGAATGGGTTACACTGACAACAAAGGAAGGAAGCACAAAGCATCACTTTATCTTCTGGGCTGTTACAGGAACATAACTCTTTTTTTTCGATATGATGCCGCCCTCTCCTTCTTTTCTGTTGTTTTTTTTTTAATTCATCTAATCGAAGAGCCTAACAGACAATCATCATGGATGTGGTTTTTAATGATTTGGAAAAAGACAGCCTGTGGAGACTGTGATTTGAGACAGCAACACATTTAGGTTATTGCCAATTTGAAATACTTGGTTTGTGAAGCAGAGCCCTAAGGGACAAGCTCAGTAACTGAGAGAAAGATCGTAGATAAAGAAATAAAAATGACAAGCGTAATGGAGGTTCTGCAAAAGAGACTGTCAGAGAATCAGTTCATGGATGGCAATTTCACCAGTCTGAAACTGAATAATTCATAGAATGAAATTACCCTGCTTTCACCTTTCCATTTAAATCGGCATGATCTGAATCTCTAATAAATTTTCAAGATAAAGTAAAATGCCAATTTGAACCTGAAGAGCTTTTAAAACCAGATGCTACATTCTGAATCTTTCGTTACCTTTCACAATTTTCCTGTGAGAATCGCACTTCATCACGAAGCACCATTACCAGTGAAAATTACTGTGATTACAATAGCAACAATAGCATATCATCAGATGATCTCTAATTTTCCTAATTTGCTAAGGCTGACGGTGTGGTTTTAATGCCCATCGTGTGTCATCATGTCTGGTATGGATCAGTATCACACTGGAGCAAAAATGTCTTAGTATATGCTTCATTCTTCGGTACTTTTAACTTTGAAAATCTATATACAGTGTTAAAAATATGCGTTGTAAGTCTGTTTTAAGGTATGAGTGATTCTCCATGATTTTGTTTAGTTCCTAGGTACTGGTTGGCATTATGTTACTAATTTGTTTATACCGTTTTCTTTTGCACAAAGACTGCAGCAAATGATTAACAGTGTGGCGAATTTGCACTGTGAAAGCAGTAGCAGTGTTTTCATAGATGAAGCCAATATGAGTTTTATGCCTTATTTGAATAGCTACCTGTTTTCAGGTTAGAAATCCTTTTCTGGTATTGGTGGTCATGGTTGCATTACTTAACAAGTATTTGCTTTTTTAAATGAACACCATTGCCAGTAAAAATAAATGAGTGCAGCACTAACAAGATTTATTCCCCTCTTCAGCAATTAAACTATGATTATGTGCATGCACTGAAAAATGCGTGTTTGATCATTGGAAATCTCTTACTGAAAATAACAACAAACTGGGAAACACAGTGCTTCTGAATCTGTTCTCATTACGTCTTCAGAAGCTGTTGTGGTAGCAAATCTTCGCTTGGGAACTGGCCATAATTTTGTACAGCGGGATGCATGACTTCTGAAACAATAGGTACATTTATACAGTATGTCGGTTCCTATAGCTAGGATACAGGAGAGCATTTTAATGTGTATTTTGAGATAGATTCCTTATAATTTGATGCTAGGAATGAGAGAGAGGTACAGAAGTTTAGTAATATGTATTGTTTATGGAGGTAGTTTTGGGATTTTTTTTGTATATGTGTTTGACTTATAGACCTCAGTTTTTTGTTTTTCATTCTACCACCAGGTCTGTTTTATCATCAGAAGATATTTTTGGATGATAAGAAGGTAAGTATTTCTGCTTATTTCCATGACGCTGTAATATTTTCTGCCTAATTTAATTTTTGGGAAAATGCACGTTTCTGTTGTGTGTTTATATAGCCCATTATTGCCTCATGGTATATTTTACAAAATAAATTTAGCATTTGTTTTTAATGAAACTAAACAAAGTAGATTTTAAAATAAAAACTGGTGTTTCTTAGTCAAAGTACATTTTTTAAAAATTGCTATAGAAGACAAGACTTTTTTTTACATTGCACCTTTGCTCTTAAACATTTATTTAATAAGGATGTGCAAGATTTCATTATGAGTATTCTTAAAATTTTGCATGGTACCATTTTGGATTTTAAGATACTGCGTCATCTTACACTTTGTTATATCTGTAAATTTTTAGTATAAGAGTTTAATCTGTGGCAGTAAAGGAGTTTAATCTGTGTAGAAGTGGCAGAAGGCTTTGCAGTTTGTGCTGTGATAACAAAGGGCTTTGAAAAGGCACTAAATGTGCTTATGCAAAAGTTTTAGGTTTTTTAAATATTCAGTAACTGTGATTTAGCAAACAGTGTTTCCTAGGCAGCAGATTCTGTAGCTCTAAACTATCAGGAATTAATTAATGCAATCAGTGATGTGAAAATCTATTTTGTGTACTTCACTTTTCAAGTGGTATTCAGGAATTAACAAAGAAAGGTCTTTGTACAGTGCGAAGACTGCTAGTCTTTTGGTGAAAGTGTGAAAACTATGCTATGCTACCTCAGTAATAAAAGGTAAAAATTCAAATCAAACTTTTCATGAGAGAATGAAAATAAATATATTTTTTACTTTAGCTGCTTTATAACAGATATTTTACATTTGTATGCATCTTAAAGATGTGTACTGTAACAATTAGTATAGAATTTTGCTTACAGGAACACGAATAGTTTAAAAAATGCCATATAAATATGGGTTAGTACTAATAGTAGCATTACAGTTGAGCAAGCCGTTGAGTCTTTTTGTTCATCACGGTAGTAATGGTCTGCAGAGAGCTGGTTGATCACCTGGTGCCGGCTGTCCTCATTTCCAGCTATAAAATAGTATTAAAAGATAGCGAAAATTAATGTCCTTATGTCTTGATTTCCCCCCCCCCCCCCTACATTTTTATGGTCTGATCCAAATCCTATGGAAGTCAGCTAGAAGAATCACATTGAATTCATGGTCTTTGGATCAGGCCCTTATTAACAGTAAATATGAATCTGACCTTTTTTTCATTTGTCCCACCTTTTAATCTGCCAGTTGTTTTTTTCTGTAGCTCCAGATCTGTCTTATACTTAAAAATAAGAGATGCTGGTAGCTGGTCCAGTCTAATATTACTTTTTATGTAGTTGCCACAAGGGTACAAGGAGATGGCCAGTAGAAGGGGAAATGATCTCTGAAACAGTCTGCTATAAGCACCTTATGAAAATGTTCAAGAAACCCGGCAAGTCTCTCTATACATTTTAGAAATGAAATGTCTGCCTGTCAGTCTATGCAAGAATGCCTCGTAAATGGTAACAGTGAGGGCCACCAAATTTGGTAGGCAGCTTCCGCTTACCCTACCTTAAAGCAAGGTTAGGGTTTGGCAGTGCTGGGAACATGGGAAGTGGTGGGAATGGGCTCTCCCCCCCCAACATGGAAAGGGGCAGAGAGGGATGCAATCCTCACATTCACCACTGGGAGCAGCAAGTGGGGACGGGATACTTCAGAGTGAGCACCAGGAACAGTCCCCAGCATGACACAGATGGGCTGGAGACGCGGTTCTGCATGTTGCCAGCTAAGCTACCTTCGACAGACAAGATTCTCCTCTCCCCTGCAACTACAGTCCCTGGGCATTATTCTGCCCCACCCTGCTACAGGGCCTGGGGATTCCCCCTCACCTACGGGAGCCTGCACATCTCCTCACCCTCGACAATCCACACAGGCACGTGAAGATTCCCCCCCACTATGAGATTCCTAGGGGGCCTAGCAATTTTCCCCTTTCCCCCTGCCACTTCACTTATAGTGTGGGGATTCCCTTCACCCCTGTGCCCTGCGCCTCCTCACTGGGCATAGGGATTTCCTACACACTTCTCCACGGTGCTGCTTCACCCGGGGACTGGGGATTCCCTAAATCATACCCCCACACCGCTCCTCATGGGGCCTAGGATGTCCTCCTCCATCCCCTCTCCCCTGGGGTCTGGCTGTTCCCTCTTTTTTGAAAATTACACTCATTTACATAACACATCTGCATTTTCCTTTTATTTCCCAATAAAAACCAACTAACCATTTCTTGGGTTACACACCTGAGCAACACCAAGTAAATCTGCTAGTAAGCTATATGTTGATATACCTATCTCATAGAGCTGAAAGGAACCTTGAGAGGTCATTGAGTCCACTCCCCTACCCTCATGGTAGGGCTAAGTATCATCGTTCTGATTTGCCCCAGATCTATAAATGGCCCTCTCAAGGATTGAATGCACAACCCTGAGTTTAGCAGACCACTGCTCAAGCCATTGAGCTATCCCTCCTTCTGGTTTAGGTTGGCTGGCTGTCTGTAAATGGTGGGGAGGGAGAGATACAAATTCAAACTTTTAAAAAAATTAGAGAAATATTGGCATTATTAAATTATTAAAACATTCAAAATGTAACTATATTTTACTATAGAAATGGCAGTTCTAGCAATAATGTCTGTATGGTCACTATAAGCAATTAATAAATACAGCCAAAACTGAGGTATGTTGACATTAAGTAATATAATTACACATAATAAAATGAACAGTAGACTCTGTAAAGTTAAACTTTATAGCATAATATAGGATTTTAGTTAAAAATGGGTTAGCTCTTGTTTTGCACTAATTTGTCCTTTGCAGTAGTGTACTATTACATACAGTTTAACTTCAATGACAAAATAAGGTCCCAGACACTTTTGCACATTAGTTACTTAAATGGATCTATTCGCCTTAGTAAAGTTACTTGTGTGTAAATGTAGGATCAGGCCCTAAAGCTATTCTTGGTAACAATTCTGATTCTATAACATATATAACAAAATATTGGGACCAGTTCATCTAACATTGAAGTCAGTGGCAGCATGATTGGTCCCATTTGCTTTATGTTTATGGCCTTTTTGCTTTTTATGAAAGTTGCTTTTGTTTCTTTCCTTTGCTATAAATTACAGTATATTTGATGAAATGATAAATGGAAGTTGCTTCTTGTATTCAAAGAAACACTTACATTTTGGAATAAACAAACTCTAGGAATGAACATCAAGAATATGTTGGCTAATTATTTAACAAGCCACATGTTACATGGTATATTTTGTTATAATGAAATGTATTAATGAGGCTGTCATTCTTGCATTCTTATTGCTACGTGAAATATATGTTCGTTCTGATTGGCTGCTGCCTCTCCAAATTCCCCTGATCTAAAGCCCATTAAAGTCAGTAGAGTAACTTAAATGTAGTAACTCAGACTAACTGTTGCAGTGAAAAACTTAAAGAACACTGAATACAGGCAGTCCCCGAGTCTCCGCACTTACGAACGGGGCTTTTCTCGCCCCGGAACTCGCGGGCGGCGGGACCACCCAGACGCGCAGTGGTCCCGCCACCGCGTCCTCCGGGGCGAGAAAAGCTGCTCCGGGTGTCCCTGGTCTGCTGGGGGGGGGGCCCCAGGCGACCAGGGGCACCCC